TGTAATTTGACAGCTTTAAGACTTGTACACTTCAATGCCAGAGTTCCTGTGCCAACATGACTGAAGGAAGAATTTCGTGCTTCAAATGCCAGCGTTTCTGAGCCAACATTTTGGTTGCTAAGCAAGAGCATTGTTAAGTGAGTTTCACCACATTTTACAAGTTGGCCATGCCTACCCAGTCACATGGCTGGCAAGCCGCTCCCACCTGGTCACATGGCCAGCAAGCCACTCCCACAAACAGGCCACACCTACAGAATAGATTCTAAAAAATTTTGAAACCCACCACTGCTTTGAATGGTCATTAAATAAATGGTTGCAAGTTGAGGACTACCTGTAGTTGGTTGGCTGTGCTGCAATAAAACATTGGTTAGTCAGGCCAAACCTCTTACACTTCTCGAGGATTGGGGAGGAGTGTACAGCTTACCTAAAGCTTTTATTTTTTCTTTCCTTTTATACAGAAAATTAGTAGGAATGTTTTTCATAGTTTGGTGAGGAAACCACCAAATTTTAGAGCTGAACAATAAAAAAGGACTAAATGCTGTACTATATTATTTTCATTAAAGTGGAAGAAAAGACTTTCAATAAGTCATTATCCAATTGGTTTCTTCCCCCTCTTTAATATAAGATCTTTAGGAAACTTGAAAAGTTATCTTTTTCTTACCAGAAATGTCTCACAAAGAATTCGATTTCCTCGTACCAGGTTCCCTATTGTCATGTGAAAATACGTGCTACCACTGCTCCAGTTAGAAATTTTATTGAAGGGATAAAGAGCTAAGATCTCCTGTAGGACAACATAAATGATACATGTAAGATTGTTGTTGTTTTTTTAAAGGGACTTGTGGCTATTTGAGACATCAGATCAGATACTTCTAAAAAGTATCATGATGTTTTTTTTCCTCACATTATCCTGGAAATATCTTTTGATTTAAAATGGATTATTTTTAGGTACAGCTGTTCCTAGATCAAATTGTTCTAATCATGATCGACTTTCCTCTATTGTCATTATTATAATTCAGCTTGGAGGTTCCCTTTCTGGAAACCATCTCATAACTACCTTTGTTTAGCAATAAGTTATTCCTTCCTAGCTTTACCAGTCCTAAGTAAAAAAATCTGTTGTGATTGATTTTATTTTTCTGTGAAAGATAGCATTCTGGAGAGCCAATGTGAGTGGTAAAGAAAGTGATTCAGGCTTCAAAAATATTTTTATCCAATATATACTCAACACAAATAACAGCAGAACTGATACGTTCACAGCCATGGTCAAACAATTATTTACTTGTAAAATGTTTAGGCTGCCTCAATCTCTCACAATTCTTTACCTAAGTAATTCATTTAATTAATTCTACCATAAATCAATTGTGTGAACTTTTTCCAGATTATAATTAAGCCAAATTTTTGAAAAACAATCTCTTACCTTAGTTTTTGAATGTATTATGGAAATCCCTTGTTTGTTGATAGCAATCAATACTATGTCAGGGAAATTTGGCTCTGATGTTTGCTAATAAAATAGAAAAAGGCAGAATGCGGTCACCGGACTGTTTTTTCATATTATAACATCAATTATTATCTGTTATTAAACACTGGAATCACCAGTATTATGGAACAAATTACTGTAGGAATAGGGGTAGGTCAAAAGCTGCTCTTGGAGAAAGAACTGAAATTGGTTAAGGCCAGGATAATCAGTCCTCATAGAATTTACAAAAGTGAACAATCAGTAAGAGATTTCTTTTAAACAAAAAACAACTTAAGATGGTGGCACTTCCCCCCACCCCCACCCCAAGATCCTATAGAACCATTGAACTGACCTTCACTTCAAAGAAGGCTGAGCCAAATGTTGGCCAACGATATATGAACTTCAAGAAGGCGATTTTGGCCTCATCCACACTTTTTTGCCCAAGTTTGCTGACAGCAGAAATAATATTCTGTAATGCAACATGAATCACAACTAATCAGGTTTTTTTACCATTAGAATTATTTTCTTGGGTAGGGTGAAATTAGCCTTTCCTTGTACCCATAATCACACAAATTGATTTACTTTAGAACTTTTCACTCCAGGATTAAAAATAATATATTTTGTTATAGGCAGAAATGATGGCACTGAGGAGTGTAAATTATTCCTTAAGTTTCCAAATGAGAAATGACTAAAGTGTGGCACTTGTAACAATTAAAAGGAAGTATAACAACTATAACTGCAGAATTTTTGAAATGATTGTATTAGTGAGAAATTTTGCAAGGAGTAAACTAGATTTATTTGCAGATAAACTCCACAAAATATATTAAGGTGTGTTCAGTATTGTAAATTACACCAAATCTATAATTGGGGTGGCACATAAATTATGGAAAATAAATAAATTATGGGATATAAATCAGTAGCTTTATAAAGCTGATCAATAGAGGAAAGCTAATGCAAGTTTTAAATAGATCATAATACTAAAATAATGTAAGATTCGTTATACCCGTTTCCACTCCTCTGGGGATAGTATTGGAATCATGTTCTCAGGCACTAGTTCCTTCAGTATTTTAGGTATCACAGCATATTGTGTTCGATCACTGTTAAAACGAACTCTGAAAATCAGCCCAGCCAGTTGAACGACATCCTCCTTTGAGCACTTGTGATAGCCCCTCAGATACTTTGGCAGTTCCTGAAACAAAGACCGTAATTGACCCATTCTGTAGTTTGGCTGACATATATGCAAAAAGAAAAGAGATTAGCATTGACTGAAATTATTTCCATATTTGAAATGATGTGTGCATGAAGGAAAACGTGAAAACATTCGATATCTTGTACTATTCAGTCCTTATTTCTAGGAAGTTTCTTTTTTATTGAAATTTTTTAAATATGTTTTACAAATATTTCCCCTTCCCTC